CGACTTCGGGGGCCATGTACTGGCTCGTTCCGACGACACTCAGCGCCGACGTGCGGTTTCCACATCTGTTCCGCTAGTTGAGCAGATACTCACCATCGTCGCTCTTCTTGTTGTGCTTATCGATGCCGGCCATGATGCTGCTCGTCCATCTCAAGGTTGCCTGGACGCTGCGGGCCTCCTGCTTGTCTTGTTTGTCACCTTCCACGCTGAGGCCTAGCTTGTGCACGAGACTGTACCGGTGACTGTTGTAGTAAGCCATGTCGTGACTCCAGTGGCCATCAAAGGCGAGCCCAAAATCGCTGATCCTCAAATGTCCAGAAGCCGAGATCAGAAAGTTGTCTGGCTTGACATCTCGGTGGATGCACCGAAGTGCGTGGGCCTCTTCGATGCAGATGATCATCTCGGCGATGTAAAAGCGAGCAACAGTCTCGTGGAGGATGTTCTCTCGAATCAGGAGTCCCAGAAAATCACCGCCAGGCATGTATTCCATGACTAGGTAGAGGTTTGCCACGTCTTCAAAGCTGGCCACAAGAGGTACGATCCTGCTTCGTATCAGTGCTCATGCTTAGCTGCCCATTCTTTGACAAACATACCAATCAGAGCCTTCAGAAGCCACCAGGAAATCTCTCTCGGCCCTGAGATGTCCTTCTTGGCATGTACGCAACATGTCCGATTTGCGAATCACCTTCATGGCATATACCTGCTGTCTTGGACGATCGAAAGTGCCGTGTCTCACGTCTGGCCACACGTGGTCCTTTTCTTTCACCAGTCTCACCACGCCAAAGCTGCCCTTTCCAAGTATTTTCAGCACTTCGTAATCATCCTCGACAGCATTGGCCCTGGGACTGCCCTTTTCGGCCGCTGTGGCCAAAATGCTCCGTCCCTTGAGAACTCTGGTCCCGCGGAGATGCTGGCTTTCGCGGTCATAGAAGTCTCTGCGCATCCGCTGCTGCTCCTCGATCGTGCAGCCCTCATTCGCAATACGTTCTTGGAGATCCTTCTCCAGTCTTTCCCGTCGCTTTTCCCTGGGAGGAAGCTCCGACGACCATAATGTGTTGAAGTAGGTCTCGAAGTAAATCTTGGCCGCTGCGGCCTTTTCAACGGTGAGTATGGTAGCTGTGGCGCTGTCAAAAGCAGTCTCTTTGATGGGAGCCAGACTGGTTTCCATACTCGATTGCGTCCTGAATGGGTTGCGACGGTTCCGGATAGTCTGAGCGTCGGGCTGCTGCTCGTTGTAATCCCTGTCCTTTCCGGATGACGAAGGGTTGGACTTGGAGTCCATCGACGTCTTTCCCGTTGAGTTAGGAGATATGCCCGACTGGCTATTACTATTACTGCTGCTCTTGACGCTGGAGTCTGTAATCGTAGGTGGAGAAGATTCATCTTGATCCGGTCCGTCAAGGCCAACTTGGTTATTCTGCGTCATGTCTCCTGACATCACACTTCTCAACGTCTCTTTGGTTTTGCTCTTGCCACCCTTGCGGAAAAGATTGTTCATCTTGTGCAGCCGATGACTGAAGCCGGATTTGGGCTTGGGCCCAGGGTTCATCGTAGAACTTCCGCTCACACTTTTCGTGGGGCTTGTTGGAGGAGTGGGAAGGCCTGTGTCGGGCATAACGGCTGCCCTGACAGAGGCATCGGAGTCACCTGCGCCGAGTTTAGCTGGTGCTGGTCCAGGAGACGAAAACGGCCAAACTTGGTCACTTACCGCTGTCATCAGGAACCAGAGTCTTGAGAACAGACACGAGCATGTTCTGGCGGCGCATCTTGGTGGGCGACGTCTCGCCCGCATCCTGGGGAAGAGCAGTACTAGGATTTGAGCTCTCCAGGAGGTCATCACCATCTCCTAGAGGGCTAGGAGGGGCTGGTGCGGGAGCGTCATCTTCCTGCTGCTCTAATGGTTGTGACCTCGTCATCATGAAACCTCGTAATCCCTGGTTAGACTGTCGGTGACAGGGTGGGAGAGCGGCTGAACTGTGACATATGGGTAGCCCAACGCCAATGAAAGAATGACTGGCGAAGCGAGTCTGAGTGGCTATAGTTGATGGTACTAACTAGATCATTGGCCATGAAAAGGTAAGGTAGGTAGGTATACACAAGAATTTGGATGTGCTCAGGTATGAAGTTATAGGGCTCCCTCCCACAAACAGTCTGCATGAGAAGGGACGAATGGTAGGAACCTGCCCTTGAGAGAACCTGAGAGCATGTGTCCCCCAAGTGAACAGTCATGACGAACATACTATGATTAGGTACCTTCATTCATGCAAGGCATCGCTCCTTCCAACTCCTTGTCAGGCGGGATGAGACGTCCGCAGTTCTATCCCTCATCAGGGTCCTTGCCAACTGCCACATACTCAACACCAACAAAAACCTCACAGGTTGTATAGCGGATGTCCAAGATCCCTGATGTAAGAACTCTGCTTATTGATATTTTTTATTAGATTTTGAAGAGGTTCAGATTAAGTCACAGGTCCGAAGAGAATAATTCACGACGCCATAAACATTCTGCAGTGATGCTATTTCCACATACTGATCTGGGTACTCTGGATTCCATCTGGTGTTGAGGCAAGACATTCCACTGGTGGGTCTGGTGAGATAATGAGCAAGCGCTTATGCACACCAGTTTTCTGGTGCCATTGGTTGGCCCGGTGAGTGAGAGGCTTGACTTTCCACGATAAGAGCTTATCGAGGCAAAGGCGGTGGGGTCCTTGGTCGCAGAGCTCGAAAAATTTGGGACCAGAAACTGTTTTTCTGCCTGGCCAGCCTTCCGCCTCTTTCAGAAGATCGCAATCAGTCTATACTCTGCTTTTCATTTCTTACCATCCATCTTTTACCGCCTTACAGCTTCTTCATCAACGAGCGCGTTCACTCAATTCACTCCTGGTAATGTAAGTAAACCCTGTCTTGCATTCTAATTACAATCTGTGAACTAACACTTCCCCTGCCAGATAACCGATCGCTCCACTCACAATGTCTGGTCTTCTGCCTGTTGCCCTCTACGGGCTTGAGGTGCCCGTCGGTGAGATCATGGTTCCCGCCGCTGCCGAGTTCCCGGCTACTGTAAGTTATTCCTACACCTCGGTGTGATGTTCTGTACGTCGCTGGGCGTCAACCTTTAATCAGGCTCTAACATGCAAAAGATCCGCATCACCATGGCCGCTATCGACCCTACAGAGGCCCCTGAGGCCGATGAGGATGGCAACATTCCCGCCGTTCCCCGCGCCACCCTCAAGATCATCAAGACCCGTATGGGCGGCGATGATGACGAGGACTCTTATCTCGATCGTCTTGCCTCCGGCGACTACAGCGATGAGGATGAGTCGGACGATGACGATGAGCCCAACGGTGGTCCCAGTGACAAGTCGAAGTCCAAGAAGGCCCAGGCCGAGGCTGCTATCAAGAAGCTGATTGAGGCTGCCCAGAAGGGTGAGGTCTCTGATGACGATGAGGACATGGAGGATGCGCCCAACGGCAAGAGCAAGAAGGGCAAGGCCAAGGCTAGTGCTGATGATGACGAGGAGTCCGACGAGGAGGACGAAGATGATGAGGATATGGATGACCTTGAGGCTTTCGTTGTTTGCACCCTCGACACTGAGCGCGTAAGTATATTTCTGTCGCCACACAGCGCCAAACATGCACATTGACTAACGATGCGCAGAACTACCAACAACCCCTCGATATCACCGTTGGCGAGAACGAGAAGGTTTTCTTCATGGTCTCTGGTACTCACACCGTCCACCTCACCGGCAACTACGTTGTCGATCCCTCTGACGAGGAGGATGACGAAGACGACTCGGACGATGATGAGTACGACCTCCCCCCGGACATGGAGGACGTCCTCGATTCGGACGACATGAGCGATGAGCTTGACACCATTGATGGTGCCGAGCGCGTCAAGGAAATCGACACCGACGAGGAGGAGGCCCCCAAGAGCAAGAAGGGCAAGAAGCGTGCCGCTGAGGATGCGGCCGATCTCGACGAGATGATTGCCAAGGATGAGCCCAAGCTCAGCAAAAAGCAGCAAAAGAAGCTCAAGAACAACAAGGGTGAGGCTGTGGCCGCTGAGGAGAAGAAGGCGGAGACCACTCCCAAGTCCGACAAGAAGGTGCAGTTCGCCAAGAACCTCGAGCAGGGTCCTACCGGATCTGCCGAGAAGGCCAAGCAGGCCGAGAAGTCCAAGGCCGCCCCCGGTGTCAAGGTTGTCAACGGCGTCACTGTCGATGACCGCAAGATCGGTGCTGGCCGCACCGCCAAGTCCGGCGACAAGGTCAGCATGCGCTACATTGGCAAGCTGACCAACGGAAAGGTCTTCGACTCCAACAAGAAGGGATCGCCGTTCACCTTCAAGTTGGGCAAGGGTGAGGTCATCAAGGGCTGGGACATTGGTGTTGCCGGTATGGCCGTTGGTGGTGAGCGTCGTCTTACCATCCCTGCCCATCTCGCCTATGGCTCCAAGGCCCTTCCCGACATCCCTGCCAACAGCACTCTGGTGTTCGATGTCAAGCTTCTTGAGATCAAATGAGCAACTGCTTGATGTGTGAGTGGCTGTTGGTACGAGTCAACTTATTTGTACTTTCTACGGTTTTCTTCGGTTCCGCAGATACGCCATGATGATGGAATCTCTGACCTGCGAAGATTCGAGTCTGTGATATAGGGCTTATGGGTAGCAGACGCTGTCCTACGGGATGAGGAGGTCTGCATTTGCATTTCTGTCTGGCGTACGGTGACAAAGAAAAGTCTTTTCTAGGAGGAGGTATTTTGCGAATGAACCTCCCAATTTGTGTACTTAAGGGATCGATACTCCGTCTCTTGTAGAGCTTGTGAACTGGCATGTTTGCATCCACTTCATACAGTGCCTGACTTGTACCTCTCAAGTAATCGTGTCAGTAGGTATCCCCTCTCTCGCAGCACTTGTGCAAACGCTTCCGTCAACGATTGGTGCCACATGATACGCCTGGCAAAAGATTGAAATACCATGATCCAGCAAAAGAATAAGAGTTTGACTGAAGCGTGATTCGAACACGCGCCTCTTGCGAGACCAGAATACGCCTGGTTCTTGATGAACCAGGAAGCGGGTTAAGCTTGAGTCTGGCGCCTTAGACCGCTCGGCCATCCAGCCAATTGTGTAAACAGATGGGTAATTTGTCACTGTTGTGGGGCATAGCATGAATAGCACCGAGATGCAGGGTAGCTTAGGCATTGGGCAATACACATCGTCAACATCCCAGATGGAAATTGTATATACGTAGACTGAACGGATTAAACTTACCATGGTTCTAAATATATGCTGAAGGGTCCAAGATTCATGGACTTTTTTCATTTTGCTCAAATTGCTGCAAACAAGACCTAATGACAGAAAATAACATCATTCAACACAGGCATTTGACCCATGCTCCAGTCTTCCAAGCCACATTACAGTGACAAACAACACCCATCTTCGCCAGTACCCCAAGAACGCCCAGATATTTACCAACTCCGACAGTTTCAAGACTTCCAAGACGCCCATGTCTGAGTCCTCAACTACCAATCTTCCAACAGTCTGTTTTCCCCTCCAAAGTACCCATAACAGGGAGCTCGAGCCGAGCACCAAACAACAGTTGCAAAGTGCCAGCCCGATGACGACACCAAGGTCGGCGGTAAGGTCCGAGACCGAGGAATCACCCTCTCGATGGAAGAAGGGCAGTATGAGAATTGGTATGCCTGAGAAAACGCCCAGATGCGTGATTCATATTCATGATGCATGTAACCCCAGAAAAGCCGGTAGACGTAAACTTTCATGACAGCATCGACCAGAGAGGACTGATCACAGTCCGCTGACCTTCCTGGTCCCAGACACACTACCCACCCGACCACTTGTCTTCCTTATGCCGGCCTCGCGCACACTGCCACCCGAGGTGGTAGCTCTGGTCTTGCGCACCTTGGCCAGGACGCCCGAGACGGAACTAGAGCGTGCGGCTTCCGTGGCGGACTTGATCTTCGCAGTGCCCATGTTCTCGATGTCATTGGAGGGATCGTTGTCAATGACTTGGTATACCGTTGTGGTAGTCGTGGTCTGGGTGACGGATTGCGAGCGTTCTGTGCGCTCTGGTGAGAGAGGCGCGGATGCTTTCCGCTGTGATCGCATGCGCAGGATCCATTCGTCGTCTGCCGTGGTGTCGGAGGAGGTGCGGTGGACGGAGACGGCTTCGACGGTTGTCTTGGATGTCGATGATGGCTCCTCGGGTACTGGGGCGGGCTGGGCAGATGCAGCTCTGCTGTAGGGGTGGTGGCGGTCCATGCGTTGCGTCTTGCGCGGTTGGCCCGGTGTGGGAGCAGGAAGGAAGTCCTCGGCCACGCCAATGGTGTTATCACGGCCGTGATCCTGGTCCATCTCGCTCAGCGGGGTGCGGTTGCTCGCGCTTCGTTGGCCTTGTTGGGGAGGGGTGTAGGTCTTGCTGCTGGTGCGGATGTTGGCGCGTTGCATTGCGCGAACGGGCGTGCTGGGGATGGGTTGGCTACCGTTGGAGGCGGCGGCGGCGTTCATTTGCTTGCGTAGACGACGCTCGATGCGCTCTTCTAGCCACCACTCGCGGAACACGCCTTGGTTTAGGTGAAGCCAATGCTGTTGAGGTCCAACGACCATGCCTGGGCGCATGAAACGCATGTAGCTTATACACTCGTTTGCTGTGAAGCCGTGACGGTAGATCAGGTAGGCGCCGATGAGGCAGCCTGTTCGGCCTAGGCCAGCCTTGCAATGGACTGCGATCCCCTTCTTTCGAACGTCAATCATCTCTCGGGCGAGACGGATAAACTTGCGGACTGTGGTAAGTGGTGGGCAGGTGCCGTCCTCGAAGATCATGTCCAGATGTTGGATGCCCAGCGCCTCGAAATAGGAAGGAGAGTAGAGCTGGGAGTTCAAGCGGACGACTAAACCGATGTTCCTCTCCTTGAAGTGCTTCAATACCTCCTTGAATGGCTGGGGAAGAGTCAGGTGGGTATCGATAGCCTCCAGTGTTCGGGGAAGCTGCGAAAACAGCTCCGAGTCGGCGTTGATCCTCTCAATGGGCTGATGCATGGGCGAAGCAAAGGCAAGAAAGTGAGGGCTGATCCAGTTGAAGTCGCCAGACTCCACCCGCTCATACTTTTCGTACTCGTCCAGGTCAAAGTTATCGACCACGCAGCACTTCTCCTCCTTGGCTTTCCATACTCCGTAGACAACATCCTGGACCGTGAGTCCGTAGTCGGCCTGACTGTATCCGGCGTCGCGGAAGGGCATCAACGGTGGGTCGACCTGGGAAATAGGCGCAAGAGCGAGATGTGGTGGCCAGGACTGGATCATGACCATGTAGCAGGCTAGTAGACAAGATGCATTGGCCCGACCTGTGTTGCGCACACTTGTTTAGTTATTGACTGTACCCTGGCATGCAGCCTCAAGATATAGCCCGGGTGGAAGATACTGACTTCTAGGATCCGCAGCACTCCAGAACACAATTGGTCTGGAACCGACCTCGGACAATATCTCGTGAAACATCAGGGCGAATCTGTAGAGATGGCCGATATGCAGCGGGCCGAAGTCGTGGTGGAAAGCATTGTACAGCAGCATGTCGTCGACCGTGAAGTAGAAGGGAGGCTGCAGCTGCTTCTTCCGCGACGGTTGAGACGACCGACCACTGCGCTTCGACGGCGACATATGCGCGGGTGGATCGGGATATGGGAAGAGGGTGTCTTCATTGGGCGGGCTGGTGTATGATGCAAGGTAAAGCCGGTCTGTATATTTGAGTAAGGTTACCGGCCACGGATAACAGAGTAAATGATACGGCATCTGTAGATAGGGGTAGACATGGAGCGGATACGGCTGTCCATAGTGTCGCTCCATGTTCAGGGCAGTGCTTTGGCTTTCTTAGTGCTGCGCGCGCATGACATACCTGGGATGTACTCGATGATCTGGCCGAGTGTGGGTGAGGCGGCCTTGGTTGTCCTGGACGTGCCGTTCGACATGGCAGCTGCAGATTGAGTAGCGGTCTCATACGCTTGCGCTGAGCGTTGCGCAGAGTGTTGCGCCCTCGAAGATCTTGTGGAAGGATTCATGATGCCTGTACCTTGGACGGCAGCAACGGCTGCTAAGTAGGTAATGCAGAAAACTCAAGGTAAGGTCAAGAACTACCAAGGAGTGGTGGTCGCGTTGCGGTTGTGGTATGCGCCTCACTTGCAACAATACTGCCCAGGAAGTCGCAGATTCTCAGGCTTCTCGGTTATGCTTCTGTTGTGATGATGTCAAGACCCATGCGCGAAACGCCGGATTGTTGTTTACTGATTCTTCAACAGTGCTGATGATAGCTTGAACCAAAAACCAACTGATACTCCCGTAAGGATGCTCGAAGCGAAATGGTACTATGAAAAATACCGACGAGACGTAAAAATGAGGAAGGAGAGCATGCGATCGCGAGTCCGGTCAACCAAAAGGTTTTGTAATGTTATGTCACCAGTGGTGTTGTTATGTTTTGCGCTAGGCTTTCCATCGCAGCGGCCCCTGCAAGCATAGCATAACGTCCAAACATCACGATAGCCGACCAATCGGATACCCTTGCTGTGTGTTTAGGTCCCGGTTACCACGACAACAAGGAGCCGCATGGCCCTAGCGTCATGGAGGGTTTCTGCAGCAGTCCCTGCTTTGCGCTATCTTATCGTGCTTCTGCCCCGCTAAGAGGGATGTCTGGAATTTGTGACGCAGTGATCGCGACAGACAGCAGCGTTGTCCAATCCACAGCAATAATAATAACAAAACAACTAGGTAGACATGGCGGCTGCCACGGACGGGGCGGAGTTCCCTTGCTCGCTGTACGCCATATGGTGCCCTTGTGTTCTACTAGGCTGCAAGCTAACATTGGTCTATGGTTAGCACGCTCGACATCCCATTCCCGACTGCCAGACTGGCATCCATTGCGCTTCAGGCCCTTGGTGTCGACAAGGAGCTATCGCCACTGGTGCGTCGGACTTTATCGACTGTTGCGCCAGAAGGATTTCAAGACGAGTCGGTACTGAGGACGAAATATGTTGCTACGACAAACCGGATGCTCAGAGTTGCTGTCAACTCTTTCATGGATAGTTTAGCACTGGTCTTGGAAGTCCAGGAGCAGCTCGACGTCGACGTCCTGGCGGCAGGCAATGCGAAGACTGCCGATTGAAGAATTAGAGACCTCTTGGACTGTACATCGTCGCTTCAGGAACTTTCCTGAATGACTCGAGGGTTCCATCGTGTCGTGACTCAAGAGCAGCTTCGTCGTATACCCGGAACAGTCGGGCGTAATGACCTAGCGCCCGGTCACGTTTGCGATACTGGAACCACTGGGGTGGTAGAGACGTTGTAGTGGGGATCAACGAGACACTCTTGTCATGGAAGAAGCTATCAGATTAGCCATGGCGGACTCCGCTAGCGTTCCCCAGCGAAGGCACAAGTAACGCCAGCTGGACCATCTGGGGCCCAATTGCCTACTGCTGGTGGATGGCATAGAGCGCACTCAGGAGTTATTCACAGCTGTTCCTCCTCTTCGAACTCCTCGCGTTTGACCTGTGGTGTGGTCTCGCCTTCGATCTGGCGCTGGAGCTCCTCATCAGCATTCATACTGTGATTGCCCTCGTGGTCAACACCTCCATCAATCCCATTTGGAACCTTGTCATGTCCTTCCCGCCTATGCCTGAAGACGTTGATGAAACCGTCCTGACCACAGCTGACAAGTATATCGCCGTGCACGTCAACCCAAAAACACACACCCTTGTGCGCATGCTGTATCCTTTGCACAATCTCCTTGCTCTTGACGTCCCACATGACAATATCTCCGTCCTCGCTGGCCGATGCCACAAATGCTTCCGCACGTCGGCCACTTACTGCATCCTCATCGTCTGTCTCCAGCTTACCAAAGCTGCCGCCTATCGAATATCCGCTGTTTTTATGTCCCTGGTAGGTCTTCTTTACCGATCCAGCCACGTAGTCCCACATGCGGATACAGTTGTCCATGTTGAACGCCAGCACGAAACGACCGTTGGGGCTGAAGCAGACATTGGTAACTGGCGGGTTGTCTTCATGCACCAGCGTCCGCAAACACTGGCCCGTTGATGTGTCCCATATCCGGCTGTTATACC